GTGAAGTGATTTGTCATTGATTATCCTGATGAAGGCAACAGTGATCGCTGAAAATTTGATCCCTGTACAATTGTGTATAGAAATAATTTAGTTCAACGTTTTGCTATGATTACTACCAACATAGATGGACTTTCATGATAATCGAATAAAACCATCTATAACAAGAAATAACAAAAGTTTATACCTAACATAAGTCGATACAAAAGTACTTAGAGATGATATACATGTATCTCCAACGAAAAAAACATAATGTCATGTTTACAAAATAAACTTGTTGTCAAAGTCTTAATTATTCCTGGCAAGAAGTTCCAAGAAAAGACAGAACACAACTGTCATGACTGCAGCATCGTGACGTATGTCGTCTCTCTGTCATCACTCTGTCGTCTCTCTGTCGTGTCTCTGTCGTGTCTCTGTCGTGTCCCTGTCGTCTGCAGCATCGTGACGTATGCCGTCTCTCTGTCGTGTCCCGTCTATGTCCCGTGTCCCGTGACGTCTGTCGTCTCTCTGTCGTCTCTCTGTCGTCTCTCTGTCATTTCTCTGTCGCCAGCAGCATCTTGACGTCTGTCGTGTCTCTGTCGTTTCTCTGTCGTCAGCAGCAGCGTGACGTCTGTCGTCTCTCTGTCGTGTCCCGTCGGTGTAACGTCAGCGGACTGACGTCATCAGAGGCCGGTGACGTCAGGTGAGACCGTTTCCGCTCCCTGCTCCTGGCCAGAAGTTTTCCCGCGATCACTTGAAGCGCCTCTTTCATCCCCTCACCTGTAGTACAAACACCCTTCACTTACATGGTAATAAAGCTTATTACACCGCAATTGTACAGGGTACAACTACTGCTAGTGTGGCGCAACGGCAGCGTGCACGACTCGGAATCAAGAGGTACCGGGTTCGAGTCCTGACATGCCACAAATCTTGTGCCCTTGGGAAAGGCACTTTACACGACTTTCCCCACTATACTCAAGTGAAAATGAGTATTGTATTGTCCCGTGTTGGTGGCGGCATTAATATAAGTTGAAAAAACTTGAGTGTGCGGTCACCACGTCTTGTGATTACATGTTGGAATATAAAAAAAAAACTACTGCTATGTAACAAGCACACCAAGACTAAGGTAAGACTAAGACTAAGCAGACTAAGGTACCTGACAAGAGAGTCTAAACAGTGTGGGATGAAAATGTGCCTTTACAATCAGAAGTGGAATTTCTAGCGTCCATATATCATTAGAAATGTGTGCAATACATGTGTACTTGATTTTGCTGTTGCTCACCTGTTCTAGCGGACACCTGTAAGACCAGCTCACAGCCGAACGCCGCCGCCAGTTCAGCGGCCGCCTGTTCCGATGTCCGGTGTTCCAGGTCGCTCTTGTTGCCTACTATGATCTTCAGAACTACGAAATAAAAGATTAGTCAATACACAAGATAATAGTTACTCAAACAACTGGAAAGATTTTGAAATAACCAACATTTGCTTGTCTAATAAATTTTTGGTGGGTCTTGACACGTACTAGTGCTGTGGAATAGGTGCATGAGAAAACTGTTACAGATTATCAAACTATTGCAACACATTCAAGATTAAGATAGTTTTACAATTATAATACTAGTAAAGTGATCGGTGCACCAGACCTGGAGTGTTGGACATGACCGTGCGGTCGTTGACCTCTCGCACCCATGACGTCAGCATCCTGAGCGTGGCTGAGTCGGGCAGGCTGTACACCAGCAGGACGGCGTCGGCGTGTCGGTAGTAGCCCTGTGTCAGCGTCCGGAACCGCTCCACGCCGGCCGTGTCCCACACACACAGCTACAGGGGTGCCAGAGTATGCAGTGCAATTTTACGGAATACAGTGCAATCTTACTAGTATACAGTGCAATTTTACGGAATACAGTGCAATACTAGCATACAGTGCAATTTTACTAGTAAAATTGTACTGTATTCCGTACTGTATTCCGTAAAATTGCACTGTTTACTAGTAAGATTGCACTGTATTCAGTGAAATTGCACTGTATACTAGTAAGATTGCACTGTATACTCTGGCATGCATGCACCCCTGGCTAAGGAGGAAGGGACGTTATAATAGGGTCGTGCGGTGTAACGACAGATCGATATCGTTCGACTCTGAACCAAGAGGTCCCGGGTTCGAATCCTGTCATGCTACCGATCTTGTGCCCTTGGGAAAGGCAATTTAGACGAAGTTCCTCACTTCACTCAGGTGAAAATGAGGAGGTCCGTTTATTCGTTTGGCTACGTTGGTGGCGGCATAAAAATAAGTTGGAAAAAACACTTGAGTGGGCCGTCGCCGTGTCTTGTAATAAATGTTGGAATAACAAAAAAAAAGACTACAAAGACTACACACGTACACAAAGGCCCTTCGGACTTCAATCACATTCAAAATCCTGCTCGGTTAAAGGTCAGACTGACGGTGGTGTTCCCAGAAACAGTTTCGGTCCCGCCCTTTGCAATGTCTGCGGGGTAATTACACTATAGCATTGTTGTATTATATCACACTGTACTTTCAAAATAATAATGTAGACATTTGGCCAACGAAATGGCAAACTGCACCCAGCTGCATAGAGTTACGAGCAGTAGCGTTTTTGAGGTAGCCTGAGTGTCAGCCTTGTCAGCTTTCGCCCTTGGCGGGGAGCGGATCTTGGGGAGCGGACGAAAGCTAACAAGATCTAACAAGGCTGACACACAGGCTATTTCATGGTCACAATGTTCAGAAAAAATCAGTTGTAGGCTACAACTAGCGCCCAGGGCAGGTTTTTGACCCTTAATTCCCTGGTGTGTGTTATCTCCTGTTAATGTTCAACCATAACCAAACATAATGATATAAAGTTACGGATGTTATCCATCGATTTTGACATGTCAACAGTGAGTGGATGTCACGCCTTCACGATCAAACTCCGAACTGAGCAAGTTGTATGGCTTCTGCAAGTGGCCTGCATGGACACAGTTTTGTGACTGGTATGATATATGATATATCAGAACACTGTGTTGTGTGAGACGTGTATCTAACCAATAAAGGGAATACAATGCACTAGCACTATACACTAACACCAACATTATACACTGTACAATACGCCAAGGTGTCTTTCTTACCCGAACTTCCTCGCCTTCTACGCTGACGGCGGTTTCACAGCAGTCGACGCCGATACTCGCATGAGAATCTTCAAGAAAAGTTCCGTCTTTAAGTCTCAAGAACAGCGATGTCTTCCCCACGCCCACCTCTCCGAGAAGGACAAGCTTGAAGGTTGGCTTTTTGGCCGCCATGACTTCGTAATTAAACATCAACAGGTTGTACTACTTGTCATAGCCAGATGGACCCTGCAGTTTCGGCCTTTTCTGCTAGAGGTCGCTTGCTGCAATCACTTTCGGACGCTGGCAATGTTTTGGACAGCTTTTGAAGAAGAAAAGGAATGAAGAAGAGTAGGAAAGCAACAAAATGTACAAAGGAACACTCTTTAAAATTTCATGCACGAGTGGATGTAATTCCTTTGCAATTGCACCCAGTTGTTTTTTCCCTATTGGGTCGTATTCCTATTGTGCGATCAAGATAGGAGATATCTATTAGTATTGCCGTACTGAGTACACTTAGCCTAATAGGTATAGAATATAGATGTAGCTACAGTGGGGTATGATATATATGCGATCGCCTTTTCTGTATGCATTTCAAAACAAGTAAAAGAGTTTATCATGAGTTTTGTTAGATATTGCTGATCAACATAACGTTACAACATTAAAACTCTGAATTTCCCCATGCTTTTCACGTGTCATGGATGTTGTGCCTGTATGCATACAAAATACTCGATTCGTTTGGCTGTTCTGTGTAATCTCCTGGTCCGTTATCGCGATAACATACCTGGGCAGCCATGTAGGCACGTTAACAGGTGGTATGATAATGAGTGTAAACCGTCTCCATGGCGACGGTGACGTTTCCGCCATTTTATTGGCGGCGCCATTGATATGCAAATGAGCCCAATCCGGAAATGGGACGAGTGTAGAACGTGCGGGTAGGAAACGATCAAGAAAGTTCAACACTTTCTTCGCTCTTTTACAAGTTTTACTGGACTTCTTGCGACACATGGAGGTCAGAATGCAGTGTAGGATGTTCCTAAGATGATACCGTGAGATTTTTGAGGTGAAAACCCGCCAAACAGCGCCCATTTTACAGCGTTTTAGAGGGACGTTTTTTTTCGACCGAGAAGAAAATATGAAGTTTTCTACCCGCCAACTTTGCACGTTCAGACTCAACAGAGTTTTGCAGTTTCTTGTTCTTATATTTGTTTGCTGGACATACCAGGATATCAGAGTAGAAGGTAAGTCTACTTCTGTTTGAATTTTTGAACTGTCTTTGCTGCAAATACTGAAGAAATTATAATGCTGAGGCTAAACGGGGACGTTGTTGGTACTGGGTGACAAGGAACTGTCATGGCGGTCAGTGCACGGCCCAACTTTCCTAACTTCCTTGTCCTCCTGGGTTTTTGGCTGCCTTCTCAAGCTTAGTTTGGCTCCCAGTTTCTCTCAGATTTTCACAGATATTGTTGTCGTCAGCCTGTGAGAATATGTCGACCAAAAAGGGCCAAGTTTTTGCACAAAATGCTGTCCTTACGCGTAGTGTTGCTGTCTTGTTGTGTAACGCTTGAACTGTCATGCTAGCCTCCGTAGCAGGCTTATAGAACTGCCAACTGGGAGTTCGGTGGCCTTTGGCTGTTTTCTTATTAGCCCAGTTCTTTAAAAACGGGGGTAATTCAACCAGGCCGGCTATGTTGTCTATATGCAATCAGAAAATAACACATAAAAGCTCCCAGAGACCCTGAAACCCCCCCCCCAAAACTTGGCATGCTATGGAGGCTACTGTCATGCTCGTTGGTTTTCAATAGTGAAGATCGTAACTGAAATTTGAAGACACTCTTCATTCTTCTTATAGGTCAAAAATTCAACCTCTTTTCTTCCTTTTTGGCACATTTGACTTCTGTATAAAATTTTGAAATGGTCCACATTGCTGGCATGAGTGTTGTTTTTTGTGTGGAGCGTCTAAAGTCTTGAACATGATTGACAGGTGTCAAAATAATCTATAGTCAGTCTTGGGGCATTTCTGGGATTCTGATAAACATGATAATTATTTAAGGAGTGCGTAACACAAAATAAACTATTGCCATGCATAGAAAACAAATGTTTTATATCTTATACTAGCATGTTTTTATCTGTGTTGATGATAACCTTATTTTTGTTCAATATGTAAGACCCCAAAGACACCCCCACAGTAGAATAGGACAGTAAAGGAACGGCTTGTTACAAATATATTGCGTCTTGAAAATAATGTTTCATCTCAAATAAAGAGAGAGCAAATGTTTTATATCTTATAATGGCATGTTTTATCCATGTTGATGATAACCTCAACTTGTTTAATATATTGGGTTTTGACAATAATATTGTAAATTCCAAATGAAGAGTAGTTTTCTGATGTTACTATTTTTTTTCTTTTTACTACAGCGACAACCTGTGACTGTGGTGTGGACTGTGTGTCCAACTGTACTGCTGGTCAGTACTGGGACAACGGATCATGTACCGACTGTCCGGCCGGACACTAGTAAGTACATGTTTTGTACTACGATATTACTGGACCTTAGGCCAACTGATTCAATTTTATGGGTGACATCCACTCGCCAAAACTCAAGAACTCAGTACATACTGTACCGATTCATAAATTCCATAAAGGCCATGTGCCGGCATAAAGGCATAATGTGCCGGCTTGTCGTAAAAGTTGCTTATAAATATAATGCACTACCTTATGTTCACAATACTTGACGTATCTTTGTATTCCTGTGCCATTTTTATTTTTGGCTGGAATTTTTTAAAATTCACCCGCACGCACTAGTTTAAGGGTATTCCGAGGATGTCATCCATAAAATTTAGTCTGTGTGGCCTTATACCTACTATAGGGGGTACCGATCGGTGTCCAACTGTATACATAGGGGGTGATTCTGCTGCATGGGCGTGTTTTATGTCCACCGTACGAAAGTTACTGTACTTTTTGTTGTGTCAATAAAGTTCACTTGTCAGTGACTGTCATCCCAGACTTATAAGTAATATTTAAGTTAGAACTTGGGGTATCCTGACAGGTCAATGAGTTTGGGTTGGTTCTTTATTTGCAAAATCATGCCCGAAGGCTACAGTCAAAGATACTATTCGGTACAATACAATAATAGGACACAGGCAACTACAGTCTGGGAAAATATATATGATACTGATAGGAGAATATATGCCAGGGGAGTTTGGCCGCCTTGTATGTTTGACTGGTCTTGCTGTTCGGACAGTGTCGGAGGGAAAGAACCCTGGCCAATTTTACTCACCCTTTTTGTCAAATTCTACGATTCATATTCCTGTAGAAAGACCTGTTGGAGGCTAATTCTCCTCTTAGAAGTACTTTTTCTTTAGAGACTTGGTCAGAAACATGACATTGGCTGTTTATTTTCTGTTGAAATCATGCATGAAAGCATTCCATCCAACTTTGGGAATGTTCCTCCACACATAAAAAGTTAGCAGCAGTTTTAGTTGTCAAATGTTGACATGGACGTCACGTGCACACAGGAAACTACTGTTGTAACTATCGGCCTCTTCATGACGCCAGGTCGTGCCGCACCTTGTTATTTCCGCGTAACCCCGTTAAGTGCATGTACCTGTACGCCCCCCCGACAATGTACCGCAGGAAAGTGCATTCACGTGTGTCACGAAGTGGTGTATAGGGTTACCTTGTAACAACTTTGGCAGCTCCAACACTTCTCAGGGCTGGAAATACATGTACTGGGTGCATGACGTGAGTCAGTTAGTGCACCCAAATTTGGAGCTGTGCACCCAGTTCTTTTCTGTGGGTGCACCCAAATATTTTCATAGGTTTAATGTATGTCAAGATGTTTTATGTATAATAGTTACACAGCATGGTCTTAACCTAAGTGTCAGAAAAAATAATACAATCATTGTTATAGTTACTGTACTTTTCTTGAAATAAAACGTAATAATTAAGTTTTTGCTGACACTCTACTTATTTTATCTTATATGGTGCACCTGAAATATTTTTTGTGCACCTAATTTTTTAGGTTGGGTGCACCAGTGCACCTATTACCAAAAATAAATTTCGAGCCCTGCTAACTGCTTCTAATGAATCGGAGTCTCGGGTTTCGGGGAAACTCTTTGGTCATGTTTGTCACAGTAATCGCTTCAGTCAACACATACCTGCACTGTTGGACTGGGTTCAAACTTCGGGTGTACAAATCACTCGCTGTCAAACAAACCTGAGTTTTTAGTTGTAACTGTCAGTGTGAACAATTGTAGTATTATGAGCAGTACTACATGTCTTTGTAATTATTTAAAGTTTTGTCAAGTGAACAAATTGAAATTGACTGCAATTCAGTGACTGCGAAAGTTGTCCACTTCGAAAATTCAATAAAGACATCTTGAATCTTGAAACACTGAAAATGAACTTTAATCTTTACTAAGTTCAGGCACGATATTGTAAGCCCTACATTTCATTGTTACCTGTTATACTCTGATTCTGAAGGCACTTGTAAGCAATTGCTGTAGTTGTCAGTGAGGCTCAATATATCAACCTGCCATTTGAAGGGAATAAATGGGGAGTTCTGAAATATATAATTACCAGTCTGCAACTTTAAAAGCTAAAGCAGTTCAAAAGACAATAATCAAGGCTCAAAATACCTGCAATTTGCAAATAGTATAATTTTTGTCATATTTTGTGTTTCCCAAGATTTCAGTGAGCATAACATATCAGATTGTTGTTTGAAGACATTTTCAGCAAAAATTTCCCTTGTACTTTGTTGTAGTGGTCTTGTATACGAACACACAAGTTCTGCATACTGGCTTATCTAAGAATCTGGGAAAACTTGAAAATATCTCATCTGATCTGATCATTTATATGTGGGTGGAGCAGGCTAATTTTAGTAATTATGATGATTTAATTAGGTGCTAATGAGCCTGATTAGGAAGGGCAATCATTGGCTCATAAATAAGAATTATTGCCAGTAGCAAATAACATGCAGTAAACTTTTATTTACTGAAGAATTCAGACATGTTCAGTGTTTGTAAAATTAATGAATAAAATCAGTTTTGGAAAATGGTAACCAGCAGTACAATGTATTAGATATAACTTGCAGAAAAATCGAAAGTTTGGAAAATACATTAAGCTAATTTTTTCACAGTATTTTAAATTTACTATGTATGTTAGACTGAAGATACCCAGACATGATAATTTCTGAATAGAGGATAAAACTGTTTACAAATTGTAACCCTGAAACCTGTCAGTGCCCACTGATTACAGGTAATGTTGTTGTTGTATTGAGACATGCAGACACTGAAGTGACCTGTTTTTTTTTATGCCATGAATGGAGAAACAAAATTCCCAGGGGACTTGTTATTCTGTTCAGGTAGTCTGCATTTTGCTGGCTTGCTTTTCTTAATTTGGACAATTTACATTTTTGTTGTTGCTATATGATTTTATATACTACTAGCAAGTACATACTCATGAGTATACCTATTGAGTATATAGAAATATTGTTGACTTGTTTGAATTTTGCAAAAAAAATTCATGTAGGGCTGTCATATTGACATTTGGTGACCTACATTTAGTGAATAGAATGACAAATGTTATATGACATGTATAACTTCAGTCTAGAAATACACTCTGTATAAATAATATCTATATATACATTCTCATCAGGTCTTTTGGAGGTATAATTTAGTGCCCAAGGTACATAATTACGACAGTTTGTAACACTTAGACTGATGAGTTGGACATTTTACACCAATATCACAAACATTTTGTAACCACCACCTGTATTTCGTGATATTCTCCTAGACTGCCTGAAAAGGAATGAATATTTGATATATTTCCCCACGGTTTACTGAGACGGAGATAAAGACAGGTGTGAATAATTTATGTGGAGCGACAATGGGGGGATCGGGGGAGATTTGTGCGCCCTGTGCTGTCGTGATGATTAGTTTGGTCAGACTGGAGGTCGTGGGAACAATCTGCCGAAGGTCAAAGTCCTAATGTTGTACATGGTGTTGAATTATGATAGGATTATAGGTATGTGTAGACTGTGGCCACAGTGACATGGAAGCTATCATGGCGGTCAAGTTGCCTGAATTGTAAGGCCACTGGGATTGGGATTGGGATTTTTTTAATTTAAATTTTGAATAAATATTGAATTTCCTAAAAGTGAAATCTGAGAAAACTGTTTTGGTAGACACGCTTTCATTGAATACAGTCAAGATATTCTTTGAAATGGTGGAAAAGAATAGAGAGGTATGTGGCAAGTTTCAAGAAGTCAAACGTTTTTAAGTTCAATGCAAGATTGAGCTATATGTTATGTGTGTATAAAGAGGCTGTGGCATACCCCTAGAGTTTTAATGGTAGCTATAATCACCTGTAGTATGTTTGATATGAGAGGAAGTCGTAAATCCAGACTGGTTACTGTCAGCCTAATTATGCAGATGTACAGAGAGCTTGACGTAAGTCCTCACGTTTTACTGTTGACTATCCAGTAAAGTGAAATGTTTTGTAAATCATGGCTTTGTGGGGCTGCCGCTTAACATGGCAATTAACAAGGAGGTCTGTCAACACATATAGGGCAAAGGTATTTATGGGACCACACTAACACACTGTACATGTCCTAGTAACGTCAACTAACATCAATTATTTTCACCAGGTGAACATATAGTACCCTGTGTGCATAACAAAGTGTGCAATGCAATATGTCCCCAGTATAACGCGCTCCTGTATAGTCCTATATAAACTGAGCAGACCTGGGAAGAGGACTTAAACAAAATGATAAGAGATGGCCCACATGTACACACACACGCTCACATGCGCGCGCGCACACACACACACACACACACACACATGCACAGTCACACACACTCACACACACATCTGCTCACACACACACACACACATCTCTGCTCACACACACACATACAGACATACACACACGCACACACACAGTACATACATGCACACACACACTCACACACAATGTCATACACATGTATGCACACACACACACACACACACATACACACACACGTGACAGACACCAATTGCGATTCTGCCATTATCACATGTTGAGATAAGAGAATGTAATCATTAGTTTGGCCTCTGACATATCTGTTAGGAGATGCCATTTTCACCAGGCTCCTGTCTGTGGATATGTTTGTCCTGAAAGAGGGTTGCTATTGTGCGTGTCTTCATTTGTTAAAGTTTCTTGATGAACACAATTTGATATTCTATTGACGTGGCACGCATGTCATCGGTAATGTCATTGAATGTGAAATGCAAAATTAATCATATTATCATGTCATGAAGTATATGACAGTTACTCTTTACACATTTTGTGCACATACAACTACATGCTGTATATATTATATAATATTGTACATCTTCGAAAATGAAGTTCCAGCCATCACCCTATATATAAACACACACACGCGTGCACACACACAGACACAATATAGCAATAGGATATTATGTTGTTTAAAAGTATTCAATTATTAATTTTTTTGGTTGTTTGGCTGTGACAGTGTGAATAACAAACAGTTGATGGCCGCAGTTTGAACAAATTTCAAAAGCAGTATATAGGCACACCCTCCCGCGGTCTGACTCTCCTGGCCAACTATTTCTGGATCCCATTTGTTTGTAACCGAATTGTACGATCCATACCCCCGTTGGAAGGCCTGGTGGAGGCTAGTTTCCCCCAATGTTCCCACAAGTACGTTCCACGTCAGTCCTTACAAGTTTGTTGCATTAAGGAATGGCATCTAACAAAGAAGAACAGTCCGTAAAGGCACACAACACGCCACCTTTCACCTTTACCTGTGTGCACCTGTTATATAGACTCAGCAAGCGTTACCTGGTCTACTGTTTACTGACTAATGACAGGTACCATTGTCTGCTATGTGTAAGGTCAGCCAAATTTAACACTAAAGTTCATCTGTGGTGGTAGCCTAAGGTCAGGGCTCAAAATACTGGGTGCATGTACATGCAATTGGGCACCTTAGTATACCCAAATTTGGAGCTATGCACCCAAATATTTTACGTATTACAAGTCAAAGATGTTACATGTCTGTATACACGTAGTTACTAGTAGTATACAGCATATTCTTAACACCTTAGTGTCAGAAAAATAATTAAATCATTATTATTATATATTATAGTACTTTTCTTTAGAAATGAAACAAAATTAATTTTTGCCGACATTCTTATACGGTGTGCACCCAATTTTCTAGGTAATGGGTGCACCAGTGCACCTATTCCCAAAAATGAATTTTGAGCCCTGTCACGTGTGCCATTGTCAGCTCTGTGTAAGGTCAGGTATATCTAACAGGAAAGTTTTTATGTGGTGGGAGATAATGAATGATGACCAGTAATTATACTAACCTTTATTGTACATTTATGCCTGTCAATGTGATACATGTAGATAGCTGGTCTTTGTTCTCACTCAGACATATGAATGATAAGAAAAATGGTGAATGTAATGCCAACTGTCACAATGCATTCTGCCAGGTACCCTTTAAGTAGAATCACTAAAAATATCCTCAGGCTTCTAAATATAGCCTTAGCAACATAATATTAGTACATTTTTAGAAGACCCTCATAAGATAAAAATAAAGAGTTTGTATTTTAAATGTCGTAGTCTTCAGGGTACAGGGCGGAATTAATGAGAGTTGACCAAGATAAACTGTGGATTTATTGATTTTGAGAGTTGACATTATGCCAAAATAAACTGTGGAATTATTGATTTCCGAAGGCACGTGTTAATATGTGCTATGTGTGATTCTTTTGACAGTGTCATTGTCATTTGCAAAAATTTGGTAGTCATGCCTCATGGTTTTATTTAGGGATTTCTCATGCTAGGAATATGCCTTATTGCATCTTCTCGATTCATGTTAGCTTGTTAGGACCCCCTGGTATATGTTGGACCCTGCCCCTTCTCAGGTGCAAACCTGTAATACAGCCAGGTAATCAATGTATAAATTACTATAATAGATTATTAAATTAATAAAGAGTGTGACAAGTTGCCATAGGTCTAAATACTGGCCTAAAATCGTCCATGCCAGTCTGTGTGGAATAACAGTAACTGTTATGTACAGTGTTTTGTTAAACCCTGACCCTGATACCGACTGATTGCCCAGGTGCAAGCCTGTATAAGTTAACACAGGGTAATAATGATGTAAGGGTCTGAAATGGTCTAATGACTCTAAACGATGGCCTAAAATCAGCCATCCAAATTTGTGTGGAAAAACCCTGGAACCCTGATCCTGATCCTAGTGATAGTGATACTAGTGATAATGCATACATTTGTAACTGCCCAGGTGTGAGCTTGTAACACAGGTAACCGCTGTAAGGGTGACATGTTTCTACAGTCGGTCACAGACCCGCGATGATAGCAGCCCCTCAACCAGGCCAGACACAATAGACACAGCTTGTTGTTGCCTTGTTGCTATTGACGAATGTAAACAACTCTCTTTGTTTGTCCCTGTTGTTGTGAGAGGCCAGGCGCACCTTGTCACGGTTGAGAAACCAGGTCAACGCCCTGACAGTACAGGGGAAGTGTTGGGAGGGAGGGAAGCAGTTTTCTAGCTATCTTCAAGCCACTCCAATTTAGTTCACTGGTTTTCTAACACATTTGAGTAAATTTTTAGCTAGAGAACTAGATGAGATTACTGATGGCTGGCAGGAAAACCTGCATTCACTGTAATCTTTTTTCAGCTATATTTTGAATTCACAAATCCTTTTTGTCAGAAATGGTCTAGATTACAATTTAGTTAGCTTTAGGATTTTAGCAGAATCTTTTTTTTAGCACTTTTACATTTAGCACTTTGTAAAGAATAAAATTTGGGTAAATTAAACATTATTCTCCATTCTTCTTTTAAAAATTCTCTTCTTTCTCCTTCTTATTTTGTGCCACTTGCTACAGGCTAGGAAAACGTTGTACAGTTGTAAACCATAGTTTGGTGATTCCATAATTACAACCAATATTGGAGGCTTTAAGGGATTTATGCTGTACCAACACAGTCCTTGTGTTATTTGTTCTGATGTGTCTGTGGCTGAACTGGTGGTGTGTATAATTCATCCTGGGTATCAACGTCTGAGCCTCTGTTATTGTACCGGATTAGGGGCTTTTCTTCCGTAACCTTGGTTACACCTTTATCCGATAACTTAAGGTGTTTTTGCAGAATGCACTTTGCATGTAACAGTATACAACCCTGCAAATTGAGTTTAACCCCTTTTTTTACAGCCATATACAAAATGTATATGATATATACAGCCACTGTTATGTATAATATTCTGTAATTTGCCTTGTGAAAGGCTTTGCACACAGCAGCATGGGAGTACAGAGAACAGAGTACAGGCAAATCCTATTCTGTTGCAGCGTATACGTTTAGTAAATTCTCTAATTTTTCTGTTTCAGTTCCACCTTCAAATTGTTTTGATTTCTGATGTGGTTAACTTAATTAGTGTCTCATAAGAAGTCAATTATTTTGCTGTATGTATAAAATGAACATTAACGCAAATAAAAGACAGTCAATAACCTAATGTGATGTTGCAGCAATACTCCTGGGTAATTCCTTAATAAGCACATATTACACCAACACTCATAACTTAGAGTAAGCAAGACTTCCACATTTAAAATAACATCAGTGTAAGTAACTATGTAAGGAGATCTACTCATGCAGCTTCAATAACCCCAGAGGTCTGCCCACTTCAGATATCCAGGTGTTCATGACATTCTTGAGATGAGGCCTTGGTCACCGCTTTTCAAAGTCTACGCTTACCTGGCAGAACCATGAAAGCCAACTGTTGATGTTACGTTACAAAGAATAAAAGTGGCCAATATGCGGCCAACAGCCCTCCGCTCTGCATGGCTGAGTGGCTGTATGGTGTAGCCGGAGGGCTGATAGCTGTCGGCTGAATGGCTGTAATTTCTGTAGAGTGCTGTACGAAAGCCCAGTTAAGCACGAGTGTGCACTTCAGAATCACACTGGGAGACTTGGGGATTAGCTGTTTGTATTCAGCACAAGGCTTTATTTTACTTCCATGAGGACCATAAGGGAGGTTCCATGCTCAGTTGTATTGGTAAATAATAATCATAATATATAATTATTATTTTTTTAGCAACAAGAAAGTTAGAAAAGGTTTTTGATTGCTGGAAGGCCTTGAGATAGTGCGTGTGCTTTTAGACATTAGACAAGTTGTTTTTATCCCTCCAGTTCCCCAGGTAGTAATGTGAGGGTAGTGGGGGAAGCTATATATATTAACCTGTCCAGACAGTTTATACACAGGTTATACCACTGATAACCTGGGTGTGTTTTTTCCCTCCAGTTGCCCAGGAGGCAGTGCAGGAACAATAGCCTGTCCGGGGGGAACGTTTAGAGCAACAACAGGAGCTGAAGAGGAGAGTGACTGTCAGGTAAGGCTACATGCATGACTCAGTGGCTTCTATAAGTCTGTAACACTACAGAACTGTTCAAGCTGGTATGCAGGAAACTTAAGTTAATGACAAAATGTTTCATGTTTCAAATTTTTCATTTTGGCTGAAGTCATTTCAATATTATTCATTCGACATAGAAAAGGTAATCGCCTGAATAACCGGTAAGTCCTATTTTTGACCCTTTCTATACATGTCTGCATTAATGTAGGTTGTTTGTCCCTTTTCTTGTGTGCACCTCTGATCCAATCCACGTGTGGTCGTGTGGCGCAATGGCAGCGTGCGCGACTCGGAACCAAGAGGTCCCGGGTTCGAGTCCTGACATGCCACCGATCTTGTGCCCTTGGAAAAGGCACTTTACACGACTTTCCCCACTAGACTCAAGTGAAAATGAGTATTCAGTCTGTCCAGTATTCATTTCTACGTGCGGGACACAACACCAGCAACAGCTGCCTCTGTTCCTCGTGTATTGCACTGTTGCAATTTCAATAAATCAAATCAAATCAATCCTGACTTTAGACTAAACTGTTTCTCGTTTTGTGCCGACAGAACTGCCCAGCAGGAGAGTACAGTAGCGGGGGTGCCGCGTCGTGCGACCCCTGTCCCGGCGGCTTCGCATGCCCGCTCCCCGGGACAGAGTCGCCCGCGGCGTGCGGGACGGGACAGTACGCCAACAACGGGAGCACCGCGTGCCAACCCTGTCCTGTAGGGTACAGGTGTCCCGTAGGGCAGATGGCAGAACCGCTAGAGTGTCAGGATGGCTACTACACAGCTAACACCGGTAAGGATGCGTGTGTGTGTGTGTGTGTGTGTGTGTGTGTGTGCGCGTGCGCGCGTCCGTGTGTGAATGTGTGTGCATGTGCGGTGTATGAGACAGGGTTAGGGTTGGGGTTGGGGTTGGGGTTGGGTTAAGGTTAGGGTTAGTAGGGCTGGGGTTAGGGTTAGAGTAAGGGTTGGTGTTAGGGTTAGGGTTAGTAGAGCTGGGGTTAGGGTTAGGGTTAGGGTAAGGGTTAGGGTAAGGGTTGGGGTTAGAGTATGACTCAATCAGATGTACCTTTCTTGTCCCACATAGGTCAGACCAGTTGTGCAGAGTGTGAGGGAGGCCGAAGCTGTGCTAACAAGGACTCATCCGTAGCGTGTGGCCCTGGGACGTCCAGCGCTCAGGGCGAGGCCACATGCTCACCCTGTCCTGCTGGGTCCTACAGGTAAGGTAGTGATTGTGTGTGTGTCTGTGGGTGTTTGTGTTAGTGTGAGTGTGTGTGCATCTGCATGTATGTGCGCGTGTGCGTGTGCGCATGTGAGTGTGTGTGCATGTGTGAATGGAGCAAGTTGTCAAGAACATGATAGACATAGCCACTGCTGTAACTCTTAAACCTTGAAGCATATTCAATCATATTGCAGAGATGATAAAGAAATAAAATTTATGTTCTCTCCCCAGCGGTGCCCAGGCCTCCAGCTGTACTCCCTGTGACGAGGGCCACTCCTGCTCGGACCCTGCCCAGTCCCCCCAGCCCTGTCCTGCTGGCTACGTGTCAGCACAGGGACAGGCCAACTGTACCAGATGTGCCAACGGTAAGGACACGGACACACACACTCACACGCAAACACACACACACACACACCTGCTCGGACCCTGCCCAGTCCCCCCAGGACTGTCCTGCTGGCTATGTGTCTGCACAGGGACAGGCCAACTGTACCAGATGTGCCAACGGTAAGGATACACTAAGTCTTACACATGCACAAACACACACACACACATACACACCCATGCACACACACACACACATGCACAAACACGCATGCATGCACACATGAAAAATATGCACACATTACCTCTGTTAAATTATGGTTTTGAACAATTAAAAATTAAAAGAAATCTAAATCTCATTTCTCATTCTCAACTGCATTGCTACCGGTATAATGTTACATGTATAAGTAATACCACATTGTAGTATAAGTAGTACTAGTGTTACATGTATTAAGTAGTACCACACAGCTTTCAGTAACAGTCCATTGTCTGTCTCCCTGCAGATGAGGTCCCAGCGAGCCCCGTCCCGAACTCGTGCCAGCCGTGCCCAGCTGGCCATGCCTGCACCGACCCTACGCTTGACCCCGTGGCGTGCGCGGAGGGCGAGTACTCTCTCCAGGGCGACGCCGCGTGTACACGATGCCCCGCTGGGTCCGAGTGTCCGTCCACTACAACTATCAACACCTGTACAGGAGGTAGGTACAAAGCTAAGGGAGAAGGGGGCAAACGAGGGTGCAAATTAACAGTTTCTTTCTTTGTTTATTCAGATTGCAACGGCAATACACTAGGCAGCAAGTTAGCTGATGCTGATGCTTTGCACATTACAAACATTCAACACAACAGCAAGGTGGAAGCGAAAGTACATCAAAACGTTCCTTTCTCCATTTCTTATTTCGATACCCTTTAGTTGTGCCTTACAGTTTCATCTTCAATAATGAAAGTACACTGTCATGAATGAAGTCACAAAATAACTCCAAAAGTCCAAAACTCAGAGCTGACGGCTTCCAACATGTGCCAAGCTGCTGTGGGAGGACAGTTACTGCTGCAACCAGAACCCTGCAAATCTCCTGCATCCTCCTTCCTTCCATGTTTACTTGGTTGTTGTTTATTTGTTTACATATTGATTTGTTTGTGTCTATCTCACAGGTACATACTCGGGGGAGGGCCAGACGTCCTGTTCACAGTGCCCCGCTGGTCACTCCTGTACCTCAACGTCTGTCACTCCGTGCGGAGCAGGCTTCTACAGTGCCGCTGGAGGTGGGTACTTCCCGGGGATGTTGCTGAAAAAAGTGTTGTTACAGTTACTGTAGTAGTAATGCTTTATTCTTTTACAAATTACATTAATATGCAACATGTCGGCTGATTTGGAATGATTGAAATATCTCTCTGATATGTTATATTCAAAGTTAGGTCTTCTTCTTTTGTCTGAACTGATAACTTAAAGTTACGTTTGATAATTTTTGCAACTTCTTAAAAGGTCCTTGAGTTGGTATGGGTTATTCTATTGGTCTTTTGGAGTTCAGTAGTGCAGGGACTTACCCTGAACCCCCTTGTATGATGATGACAAACTGAAGAAAGTTGTGATGAAGTATTTACTCGATGTTTGTTTGTGCCCAGATGTGACCTGTACAGAGTGCCCTGTGGGTTCCTGCTGCCCGTCTGGCTCCGCGGCTCACACACCGTGCGACACCGGCTTCTACTCCGACAGTCCCGGCGCAGACTGCCCGTGCTCGGAGTGCCCGGCTGGCAGCCGGTGCAGCTCAACCGGCACCACGCCGTGCTCAACGGGATCCTACGCACTGGCAGGGTCAACCGTCTGCCAGCCCTGTCCCGCCGGTGGGTTTACTAGTTTATTCTCTTTATCAAATTATCAAACACATCTGGGTATGGCCTGTAAGAAGTGTGGCTGTCTACCTTGTTGTTATGTTTTACCTTTCATGTTATTGTAAAGTTCTGTTTCTTCTTCTTCCATTCCAAAGAAATGAGATAATGAAACTGATGGTTGTCATCATGGAAAATGCTGAAGCAGACACCCTGTGGTGTGGGGTTACATTAAAATATGTAGCAAGTGGCAGGACAGAGTTAGAGAGGCTGGTCACCATACATTGTATATGAAAGTGCTCGTCAATGAGCAAGAATGAATAGAGCATTAGTTTGTTAGGCTAGACCTTGTGAAGTTAAACAGTATGTATTTGCTTTGCATGTCTTCCTTTTGCAGTTTGTAACTGTTGTTTGCTTTCCAGGGTTCTACTGTTCTCACATCTGCCCTCCCAGTGGCTGCCATTCAGGCTACTACACCACCGAGGCAGCCAGACCAGCTGTACTGTTTATTTGTTTGTTTCTGTTTTATTTCTGTCTATTTATGGCTTTTGTTTGTTTCCATACAGGGTCCTACTGTCCGTCCACCTCTGCCCTCCCAGTGGCCTGCCAACCAGGCTACTATAACACTGAGGCAAACCAGACCAGCTGTACGGAGTGCCCAGCCGGAAGCAAGTGTCCGTCCACCAGCCAGACCCCACAGACTTGCATACCAGGTCTCACCTTTGTCAATTATCAATCACCGAGTCTCATAGTTTGGTTGAATGTTTGCTGTCAAGAATTTTGGCATTTTTTGTTAGAGTTAGTGCCACTGGTATGAAGGTGAATAAAGTTGATCTTGATCTTGAACAGGTACTGCGTAACACCACTCAGTTTGGGTAAGACATGCATGGGGGATTGCGCTGCGCTCTCAATTGTTCCTCAAGTGTAGTAGGACTGCTTCCTCGAACTTGTCAGCCTCGGGGTTTTAGGGTATGGCCGGCGGCAGTGTATTCCAGTCCCTGACAGTCCGAGAAAAGTAGGAGTATCTGTAACAGTCTTTGTGAAATGGTAGTGACTTGTAGAAACTCAGGTTTGAGTGTCGCAATTGGCGTAAGCTGAGTTGCAACCGGTAGGGCTATTTTATGTTGTCTTTTTAAGTTCAAAGTTAAAGGTCAAGTTTTCCCCCTGCAGGTCAGTACAGCGAGGCGGGCTCGACAGTGTGCCACGACTGTCCGCCGGGTTATGCCTGTCCCAACACCGACACTGCCAGCACGATAACGCAGTGCGCCCCGGGAACGTACGCGGACGGGTCAGACACGCAGTGTTACACCTGCCCCGCCGGCAAGTTCTGCCCCAGTACAACGTGAGTACACAATAAACATGCCTACATGTACACTAACACTACTGTCGCTGTCCTTGGTGCTAAACATGCGTACACTAACACTACTGTCCCTGTCCTGGGTGCTGAAGATACCTACACTAACACTACTGTCCTTGTCCTCAGTGCTGAACATGCCTTCACTAAAAGATGCGTTCATGTATGTAGGAGGAATGTATTGGTACTTTGGCTGCCGGCGTGTGACTGAATCAGGGTGTGCATGGCACAAAGTCTCTTTTAAGGTTGTGTTCACATGGATATGGAGGCCAAAGCTAGTCTGTTAAGTTTTTGATAATGTTTATGATTTGTTATTTATATAATTGTCATATGCAGAAACTTTCATGACAATGTCAGCAGTTTAACCAACTCATCTCTCTGTACAGTGAGGCGACCCAGATTGACTGTGCGCCGGGCTCCTACTCCACTGGCAATGCCACGGTGTGTACGGTGTGCGAGGCCGGTAAGATGTGCCCCCGCGCGGACGGGGAGGACATACGGGACTGTGTGGCGGGAGAGTTCAGCCTGAGCCAGGCAACCGCCTGCACCGCCTGCCCGCCGGGGTTCGCCTGCCCCGACACCGCCTCCGACATACAGGTCCGATGTGACGCTGGGACGTTCTCGCTCGGCGGTCAGGCATCATGCACCGAGTGTCCTGCAGGATTGTAAGTCTCCTTCTTTTACTTCTGAAAAATTTGTGTTTCATTCAAGAAAAATTCATGTTTTGTATTGCAATGATAATGGTTAATGTATGGCAAGAGCCAGATTTCAACATGAATGATATATTATTTAAAAAATTGAACAGTAATGTTGATAGCTTTAATATATATTAAATAACTCAATATTCGAAGTTTGCTCAGAAGCAAAAAATAATGTCTACAGGAATACATGTACTAACTATTATTTGAAGAATGTGTGCCTGTATAGTTCAATGTTGTTCCATAAACTTGTATAATTTAATTTACATCAATTTATTTGTATAATTGTTGTTTCAGTGTCTGACATACAGCAACTGACCAGTTATGTTGTGTTGTTTCAGTGCCTGTCCTTACACTGACCGGAGGACCCAGACTGCCTGTACTCAGGGCTACTACAGCACAGGAAACCAGTCCTACTGTTTCCCATGTCCAGCAGGCTTTGCTTGTCCAAACACAAACAGCGACAACATGTAAGGAACACACATTGTACTCTAAAGACTTGAATTCTAGTAAAGCGATTTCTCGTTACTTGGCAAGGTGGTCTCATGGTTAGGACTGTTGACTCAAAACCTAAAGCCGTAAAGGTTCTGCGTTCAAATTATCAGCAAGTATTTTTTAATCAATCTTTATTCAAATAAAAAAGATAACTCACAGATAAAAGTCTTAATTGTGTTCTTCTTTGGGGTTTGGGGAAGCCATTACTAACAATTTGGCATTACATGTTGTCTATCTTTAGAATATTAAGAATAATAAACTTTAAGGTACAAATATATGGGGCTCTTCTTGAAAAAAAAGTTACGGTAAATGTTTGTTTCTCCACCAGGGTTGAGTGCACCCCCGGCATGTACTCCTACGGTGCACAGCGGGAGTGTACGGGCTGCACGGCGGGCTCCTACTGCCCCTCCACCACCCAGGGCGAGCGCAGGTGTCCCCTGGGGTACTACTCCGCTGCAGACGCCTTCAACTGCACGCCCTGCGAACCGGGCTACGAGTGCTCCGATCCTACAGGTAAGGCTCACGTACAACCTGCGAACCAGGCTACGAATGCTCTGATCATACAGCTTATTCATTATTAAGACTTATACCTGCACACTCCCTATTTGGGTATATCATTTACCTTATGCAGTATTTCCTATGCTTATCGCTAGGTGGCGCACGTGTACAAAGCTTTAATCGCAAAGCATCACGGGATATCATGACGTAATGACAATGTTCGCCGCCATTTTCCTTGTGCGAACGCGAAGGGGTGCACGTTGTTTCCCTACTCCTTATTTTTTCGGATTTTCTTTCGGCGTTATTCCCAAAAAGAAGGATAAAACGAAGTCTTCTGCCCACGGGGGCGATTCAGGTAGCCTTTCAGAGGACCAGACAGGTCGGAATGGCAAGGGAAGTGGTCAGTTTCCCAACGCTAGGCAGGCAAAATTCCTGGCCGTGGAAAAGACAGGCGTGCCTGCACTTGCCTCCGGACAGGAGGAAGAGGAGTCGGGTGAACGAAAAGTCCCCGCTCCTACAGCTGGAGGTTCGGAGGGAAAAGAGAAGAACTCCAACCTCATTCCGCCGCTTGGTGAGCGAAATGCCCCTTCGGCGTTGGCACTGGGAAAATCGGTCAAGGAAGGAGACGGCGCGGAGCTGCCGCTGCCCCGGCCCAAATTTCCTTCGGGCTCGGAGGATTTGGGCTCCCCGACCATGCCGAAGCTTGGTCGGGAAAAGTCTCCTCCATCCCCACCTCCACCAGGAACACCCTTCCCGCCTGGATTCGACGCTGCCTCTTTTCTTCAGTGGGTCAGTTCCAGCCTGGGACTTCCTCAGGCGTCCAGTTCATCCCGCCAACCTCGGGACGTTGACGGGGCGGTAGCGTCGTCCAGCCGAGCCGGCGTAGTCGGTTCCGGGCGTGAGCATCCAGGTTCGAAAGTGGAAGAGTGTTCGGAGGAGGGGGAAATCACCATTTCGGACTCTGATGAAGGTACTAGTAACTCCTTGTCATTCGATAATCCTTACGATAAGAAAGGGAAAGAATCTGAACTTCCCGAGCAAGTCGCTACATTTTTGAGCGAGGTCTTTACTCATAAATTAACGTATGCGGAGTTCAAGGAGAGGAAGGAAGCTTTTCCAACTCCACCTAGCGTGGAGTTAGCGCTTCGGGCGCCCATTCTAGACCCAGTAGTGGCGAATATGATTAAGCACGACACCGTCAACACGGATAAGAATTTTAGTGATTGTCAGGATAAGATGCTCATGGCTGCTAACCCTCTGGTGGATCTTTTAGCAGCATTTAAGGGTTCGGACCATCCCCGGAACCCAAATGCTGTTTGCAAAGCGATAGAATCGTCTTTGGTGTTTTTGGGTTCAGCTTCCTCTACTATGACTCAGTACAGACGTGAATTGTGCGGCAGGGACATGAAACAGGATATGAAGCATGTTTTTAAGACCGACTTGCCCACTGGTTCTTCCAAATACTTGTTTGGAGACACCTTTTTGGAGAAGGTTAATACAGCCGATCAGGCTAGACGCACCTTGAGTAAGGCTTATAAGCCAGCCCCTTCGAGCACTTCTAGGGCTAGGGACAGGTTTCAGTCCAACCGCTCAAAGTTTAACTATAGCTACAACAAGTACTCCTCAAACTCAAAGGGTTACAATTTTCGTCCCTACTATAACAACAACAACAACAACTACAATGCTAGACCATGGTCAAATGCCGGGGGTAAGAAAACCTCGGGGTTTCGTTCAGCGCAGGGCTCAAAAGGCCCAAACAAACAGTAGCTCTTCCTCGTCATCAGACTCTGCTCTGTTCTCCGGTTCAGCACGCAGGGCGAACAGTCTTTTTTCATAGAAAAACTGGGAAAGGATTTCAACAGACAGATGGTCTTTTGCAAACAGTTCGGGGTTACCGTATAGAATGGGAGTCCACTCCAGTTCAGTTCGTTCAGCCGGTCACAAATATATCTGGGGAGGACAGAGCAAAGGTTGTAGACGAGGAAGTGCACAGTATGTTGGAGAAAGGTGCAGTGGTCCAGGTGGAGCCCTGCGAGGGCCAATATGTTTCTACGATTTTTCTAGTCCCGAAAGCTCGGGGAGGCTGGAGACCGGTTATAAACCTAAAGTCTTTAAACAAGTTTGTTCTGAAACGTACTTGCAAGTTCGAAGGGATAAACCTAGTCAAAGAGTTGTGGAAAAAAGGAGATTTTCTAGCAACTATAGATCTAAAGGATGCGTACTTTACCATCCCAATAGCTCAGAGCGATCGAAAATTCCTTCGTTTTTCGTGGAGAGGAGTTCTTTGGGAATTTCAGTGTCTTCCCTTCGGTCTGACGTCGGCGCCGAGGGTATTTACCAAGGTTTTGCGGCCGATTGTGGCCATTCTAAGGAGACAAGGATTGCTAATAGTAATTTTCCTAGACGACTTACTGATCATTGCAAGGTCGAGGGAACAGTGCTTAGAGCACATTGCTATAGCCAGAGAGCTTCTAGAGCAACTCGGTTTTGTTCTCAACCTGGAAAAGTCGCAGTTGATACCGTCTCAGGTAGCGACTTTCCTAGGCCTTGTTCTCGATTCTCGTACTTTGACAATTTACCTACCAGAAGACAAGTTAGGCAAGGTAGTGAGTTCTTGCCAATCACTTCTAGAACAGGAGGTGATAGGAACCAGGCAGCTAGCCAGCGTGGTAGGGCTGTTAGAGTCCACCAAGCAAGCCATTCTTCCCGGGCCCTTACATTTCCGGGCTCTGCAACAGCTTCTCAATTTCGGCATAAAGAAGCCGGGAAAATTCGACTCTTCAGTTAGTCTAACCCCAGATGCAGTAAAAGATCTACAGTGGTGGATCAGTCATGTGCGCGAAGTAAACGGTCGCCGAGTCTTTGTTCCGTCAGACCTGACAATTTGCACGGATGCCTCACTGGAGGGATGGGGCGCGCATTGCAATGGTCAGGAGACAGGCGGGCGTTGGTCACAGACAGAAGTGCGCATGCACATCAATTGGCTGGAGTTGAAAGCGGCCTTCCTGGCGCTAAGAAGCTTTGTGAGCGCGGATACTCAGCATGTTCTGCTAAGGCTGGACAACACAACAGCCGTTGCATATGTGAATCACATGGGGGGAACAAGGTCGCCAGATCTGGCAGCCTTGGCCCTGGAGATGTGGTCGTGGGCCCTGGAAAGAGGCCTGATGTTGTCTGCAACTCACGTTCCCGGATTGACAAACACCCTAGCGGACAGGTGTTCGCGGGTTTTTCTGGACAAGGTCGAGTGGCAACTGAACCGCTCAGTTTTCCTGTCATTGAACAATTGGACAGGCAATGCATTGACAGTAGATCTGTTTGCGTCTCGTCTGAATGCTCAGCTGAAGGAGTATGTCTCTTGGCACCCAGAACCAGAGGCCATGGCAGTGGATGCTCTAAACATTCACTGGGGCAACCTGGGGCTAGCGTATGCCTTTCCCCCCTTCAGCCTAGTGTTCAAGGTACTGAGAAAGGTCCAGTCAGACGTAGCAACAGTGATTTTGATAGCTCCAGTTTGGAAGTCTCAGGCTTGGTACCCCAAGGTGTTGAACATGTTGTTCGAGAGTCCGGTTCTCCTGCCACAGAGCTGGGATCTGCTGTTCCTGCCACACAACAGGAGACCCCATCCGCTGTTGCCAGATCTGATGCTTGCCGCGTGGCCAATATCAGGCGACAGTTGCAGGGTCGGGGCCTTTCGGCAGGGGCTTCAGACCTCATCCTCTCGGCTTGGAGAGAAAGTACTTCTAGACAGTATCAGTCAGCATGGGCTCAGTGGGCCAGCTGGTGTGATAGAAGGGAGATTGATCCAGTTTGCGGCTCTATAGAGAGCGTAGTAGAATATCTGGAATGGATGTTTCGACAGAACTACAGCTATATGTCAATTGGGGTGGCTCGTTCTGCGATCTCGTCTGTTCACTTACCAGTAGACCATTGTAATGTGGGTAGTCACCCTCTAGTGTCCAAACTGATGAGAGGTGTGTTTCACAAACGTCCTCCTTGTCCAAGATATGTTTCAACATGGGACGTCAGTCGGGTCCTAGAGTACCTTCTGCATTGTTGCCCAGCTAATAGTCTTAGTTTGAAACAATTGTCTCATAAGTTGGTAACACTAGCGGCATTGGTATCAGCCGACAGAGGTCAAACTTTAGCGGCTCTCGACTTGAGATTCATGAAGAAATGTAGAAACGGTGTTTCTTGGACAATTCCTACCCTGCTAAAAACTTCTAGACCAGGAAAACCTGCCAGAAAGTGTTTTTGGGCGGCCTTCCCGCAGGACAGGCGCTTGTGTGCCCTTCACATACCTGAAGGAATATCTAAGGCGGACTTCTTCCCTTCGGAAAGAAGGGGGGGGGAGCAGAAGTTGTTCATATCGTACAGGAGACCACACAGGCCAGTTGGTTCTGCGACCCTGGCCAGGTGGGTTAAGTCAGTGTTAGGCACGGCAGGTGTTGACACAGCAACTTTCTCAGCTCACTCCACTCGAGGAGCGTCCACTTCAGCTGCTGCAGCTGCCGGGGTGTCTCTACATAGCATCATGAATGCAGCGGACTGGTCACGAGAGTCTACCTTCCTGAAGTACTACAGGAGGGACAACAACCAACACACGTTTGGCCAGGCTGTGCTGTCCACGGCTCTGAAGTCTGCATAAGGTAAATGATATACCCAAATAGGGAGTGTGCAGGTATAATTGAGGATTAGGCAAATTGTACTTACCATGAAGGATAATCCCAATTATACCTCACACGAACTATTTGGGTATATCTTCCCACCCTTGCTGTTCTTCAGCTTCCAAGTAGCAGAAAATGCCCACCCATGGTGAACAGCACAGACTCTTTCTCGCACGTCATCAAATGGCGGCGAACATTGTCATTACGTCATGATATCCCGTGATGCTTTGCGATTAAAGCTTTGTACACGTGCGCCACCTAGCGATAAGCATAGGAAATACTGCATAAGGTAAATGATATACCCAAATAGTTCGTGTGAGGTATAATTGGGATTATCCTTCATGGTAAGTACAATTTGCCTAATCCTCAATTATACTACAACTGCATAGCCTGGGAACCGGGCTACCACAGCTTACCCCAGAGTTAGTCCTGACCAGACGACTGTAACAATTTCATTTTAAAATGTTACAGCTGTACATTTATATGTCTAGGGTGAGCAATACAGCCAGGATTCGAATTCAAACTGCGATACATCTTACAAGTTAGTTTCTAAGCTCACCTGGTTGTTTCCGTATTCTCCCTAGCTCCTTTGCTGTGTAGTTTCTGATGGCTGTTTCTATACTAGACTACATGTATCTCCATTTCCCATACCCCCACTGCTGTGTAGTTTTTAACATGGTTGTTTCTCTTCTCCCCCAGCCCCTGCACTGTGCCCTGCGGGTAAGTACTCGCCCGGAGGAGAGATTCGCTGCTACCCGTGCCAGCCCGGTTACATCTGTGAGGAGGGGTCCAGTTCGGCTACTCCCGCTTCGGGACTGTGCGAACACGGTGGCTGGTGTAACGGTGTGACGTTCACGCCCTGCCCCGCCGGAACCTACAACCCCAACAACGGGTCTCGCACTCAGCGCGAAGCCTGCCAGACATGTCCTGCAGGTACGGCAGAGTCTTTGTTACTTGTACAATTGCACATTAAAATACTGCCATAGTGTATGTTACTGGAAAAGAAATTGGAATGTGTAGGATAACGTTCATCTGTGTTGGTAGTTCATGTTTAAAGTTAAAACGTTAGATCCAACACAAAGTAGTTCACTCACCGAGAGCTTTCGTCCAATCACTCTGGTCTATACCTCTAGTTCTTTTCCCATTGACTTATTAATATTATATCTTACTGGTATAGCATAATCCCTCAGAATTTGTTTCTCTGTTGATCTGTTAGACGTAGAGTCCGAGTTAGACTTAGAGTGGCCTCACAATCAAGTAGGAGTGAAATTACTGACTGCTTATTGATTTTTTGTTGTTGTTTTTGCAGGTTTCTTCTGTCCGGGCACCGGCAACTTTGAATATGAAAACAACGACTGTCCTGCAGGACACTACTGCCCGGCTGGCACGCCGTCTGGCACCCAGTTCCCCTGCCCTGGTCAGTTCCTCTTGTCTGTTTCATCTGTCAATCATTCCTCATGCTGCATTTTCATTGGTCACATATTCATTTTTAGTTTCCCTTGTATTTGCTTAAAACTTTGAAGAGTGTAAAATAAGCCTCTACCAAGCTTCACAGGTTGCTGGAAAAGTAGCATGCCTGAATGGGTAAGGATCAGGCACAGTAGTGGATAGTCTCTGCATTTCCAAGAAATTCAATGTAGATTTGCCCCAAGCATAGTTCTAGATTATGCATGGACTATTCACAACCGTGTCTGGGCAAGATTTTGGGTAGAGCACAGTTCTGGATATCATACAACTACACCTGTTACTCATTGTATGTTTCCTTCCACACTTAGAGGGTTACTACAACAAACATTTTCATTTTGTCAAGGTCAACACCTGTTATAATAATTATATTCTTGCCCCCTCCCCCCATCCAGCGGGTTACTACAACACGGAGTTGAATGCCACCCGATTGGCCGACTGTGTGCTCTGCCCCTCGGGGAAGTACTGCCCGGAAGGTTCCTCCAACGACGGCGCTGAATGTGAAGCCGGGTTCTACTGCACCTCAGGTCAGGGGTCATCCTACATCAATGCCTGTCCCCTCGGCACCTGGAGCAACGAGAGGGCACTCAACTGTGAGTACCAGAAATATTCCCTAAGATCCAGTATGAAATACGTTGATTCAATAAAGTTTATCTCAAATTCTTGCAGAAGGCAAACAATATATATTTTTTCAATTTATTCCTCTGCCGCCCTCTTTTCTTCCAAAGAAATAATTAATTACTTAAATACTTAATCAAATAGTTAATGTTTTTAAGGATTAAGCTTTTAATGCCGTCTGATAATCGTATTATTGTATAAATGCTAAATTTTATTCATCAACGTTATTTCTTTTTATACTTATATATATGATAATTGACCCATTGTTTTATTTTGAATTGAGCTCTGAAAATATTTGTAATCGGAATCCGCAATTCAGCCTGCGGGCTGCGATGGATTTGTATGTCAATAAACCATTCATCATCATCATCAAATAATGTCAATGACCTGGACCAGACGGCTGTCACCATGGTGACTAGTGCAGTCGCAGATATCCTGTGTTGTTGGTGTGGCGTTGGGTTACATTATGTAGCAAGTGGCACAACAGAGTTGGATGGGCTGGTCACTATATATGTATATATTATGTATGTATGTGTATGTGTGTAATGTATGTATGTATGTATGTATATAATGAATAAATGAATGAATAATATATATTATAATGAATATGTTTGAGTAAGAACAAATAGAGCAGTTACAGTATTATGTTGGGCTAGACAATGTAAAGGTAAGCATTCTGCATTTGCTTTGCAGATATTACCTAAAGTTTCTAAGTGTACGTTTTCAAGTTTTGCTTTTAAAATTAATTTATTTTCTGTCCTGCAGCCTCCGACCAATGTAACGATTGCTCGCCCGGGTACTACTGCCCGTTCGGTACGGAGCTGGAGCCACGCATAGCGGAGATACCATGTCATGCTGGCACGTACAACCCGGATGAGAGGGCTGGTCACGTGCTGAACTGTCGCCAGTGTGACGCGGGGAGGGCATGTCCCCTCGTTGGGCTTAATAACGCATCGCATCCCTGCGCGCAAGGTAAGATCACACACATGCACATACAGACACAAACACATGCACACACATCCACAAAGACACAAACACAAACACGTGTGCACACACACACAAACACGTGCACACACACACAAACACCTGCACACACACACACACGCACACGCACATACACACACACACACGCACATACACACACACACACACACACACACACACGCGCACACACACACATGTCCTATATACAGCGCCTCACACTTCTGCATTCAAGATAAGATCACAAAAGACATGTCTTATTTGTCTGTGAATTGGGTCTCCAATGAAGTCAACAGCCCACAATACTGTCTAGGTTAATTGATATTCTTGATTATCTAAGGCCACGTTTCCTCTCTCCCACACAGGTTACTACTGTCCGAACGGTACCATCACCCCGGACCAGTTCCCGTGTCCGCCTGGTACATACACCAACAACACGGACCTCACCGCGCCTGAGGAGTGTGACCTTTGCCCTGAAGGGTGCGTATAGTCTTACGGCCACCACAGATCAGCACTTCGTCAGAACGTACTGCGGCTTCGCGAAACCCTGATTTTCGCAGTTTCTGTTGAATATTTGGTCAATGTAGCATCAGAATTATTATATGAAACGTTCTGCTGAAGTGCTATGCACAATACATAATGGGTTTCGTGCAGGTGCTGTCGACATGTTCCACTGCAGAGTTTTTCTGCTGTAACTGTCAATAAACAGAAAATGTCTACCTTTTAACTTTCTTGAAACTAATTAGGAAAGACCAAAAAGCAGTTACTCAAGCAACTGGATATGATTTTGATATCCAGTTGCTTGAGTAACTGCTTTTTGGCGTATCGTATTACCTGGATGTCTAACCTTCATCGACGTAATTAGGAAAGAGTTGGGCTGGTAAGGAATTCACTCACTCAGTGCTGTAGCTGTAAGGAATTGGATCTGACTATTATTCCAAACAACAATATTGTACAGAAAAACAAGATCATGAAGACATTGAGTGTACATATAGCTCAAATGGCTCAATACATTTTCCCATTTTGGACTTGTATATCATAATAATGTATAAATAACAATGCCATGATGTTTTCTACAGGTTCTACTGCAGTTGGGGGACCGGCAATGCCACCAACGGCCCCAAGCCCTGCCACACCGGACACTACTGTCCCCTCGGCACCCCCACCCCCGACCGCTACCCCTGTCCCCCAGGAACCTTCTCTCCCAACAACAACAATGACAACGCAGGGAACTGCACTGCCTGCACACCTGGGTACTACTGTCTGGGTATGTACTAGTCATCTGCAGTTCTGTTAAATATTACTAGGGGGCACACATGTACTGCACCGCCTGTACACCTGGGTACTACTGTCTGGGTACGTAGTGTGGGTGTTATCTGCAGTAATGTGTCACTAGAAGGCACACTTGTCAAATACAGTCAAAGCTGAGACAGAATCAGACCACTTATTGGGAACTGAGAATACAATATAATAGAGAAACACATAAAAAGTGGTCCCATTGGCCAGGTGTAGAGTACATGTAGTTAGTTACCTGTACAGATATCTATCTGTGGATGAAGTGAGTATGATAGTGTCCACTTCAGTTCATAGTTGCTTGGGGTCACAGGCAGTGAGGCCACAGAGCCTGCCCTGTGTGTTATGAAAGGTGTTATACTTTGTGGTGAATGATGTACCAAATGTGCTGCTACCTTTCCCCACAGGCGGAGAGGCTACAGAAACAGCCCTGTGTCCCCCCGGGTACTACTGTCCTGAAGGCACGCAGGTCGCCGAACAGTTTGGCTGCCCCAACGGCACCTACAACCCTGACCGCGGCATCTGGGCAGAGGAACAGTGTCTTAACTGTACACAGGTAACGTACAGGGTTTCCTGGAGTCTTAACCCTAAGTCCTGCGGAGCACAACAATTGTTGTTCTACACATACAGTACCATCTATATAACACCCTGTATAGATACGACTTAGGGGTATTTCTCGTGCAACGCATCACACCGCAGCAAAACACAACGAATGCGGAAGTACAAATGTAACTATGCCACTGCAGGGCAAAAAAATTGGGGGGTTTATGAACTAATTAAGACATGAGATTATTGAAAAATGTTGTGCCAGGAATGCCAGCAGGACAAGGTTTAAGCCTTGTTTATTTAACTAAAATATCAGGAAAGCTTGAAATGAAGTGAAAAGTAAAAGAACAGAAAAATTAATGCTTAATAAAGTAATTTTTGTGCTTATTTGGTTGTGGGTGAGGCACTTTTTGAAGTGTTGTTAAGTTTCAGACTGTAACCTATGTGCATTATATATTGCAGTCATTATTTGGAAGCTGTCCCCTGCATATGTTCATCAAAATTTGAATAAATTATAATTGTTTGCTCTTCATTATTTTATTTTCTGATTAATTGTTCCCTTCACTGCAGTGCATTTGACTAACTTGTTGCCTTGCTTGTAGGGGCACTTCTGTGAGAATGGTGTCATTGCACCTGAACCCTGCCCAGAGAAAACCTACATGCCGTACGGAAACAACACCAGCACTGGGATGGTGGAGGGTGAGTTAAATTGCAGCTATAACAGTTTTATTTAGGGACTGTACGATATTTAGTGGGGGGGGGAGCGGGCCGG